TGAATGAAGAGACACTGAGTTCCATCCTTAGATGTCCACATAGATCCCATTGATCAAATAATCCAGTCTTGAGTAACGTTTCCTGCGGAGTGATTCTGAGAGGATTCTGCCCAGGAGGACGAGGCCTATCACCAGGAACAGGACACCAAAGAGCAGGGATCCGATAAGAAGCCACTTTTCAAATGGAAGGCCATACTGATTTTCTGGAACGTTGCCCTGGGAGGAACGACCTGGACTGGCCTCCCTACCTTCCCAGGAAGCAGTTTTATTCGTAGCGGAAGACTTCACATTTGACATAGAAAGTGCAGTAGGGTTATACACATTCCCTGTGTTCAAAGTGAGGTTGGAGATTTCTGTAAACGGTATCATTTCTGGGCTGCCTTTCAAGTCTGTAGGTGCCTGAAAGGTGGTAGTCAGAACTGCTGTTGTAGCCATTGCTTGGAGTGTAGCCACAGCCCGTGTAAAACCTGTAGAAATGAGGGTCGTGGGAGGCTGAGAAGTGACAGTGGTTACAGGTGGAGATGTGGTGGCCAGCTGTGGCTGGGAAGTCCCAGAAGGTGTCACTGAAGCCTTGTTGGGTAGACGGATGGTGGGCTTTGGAGTAGCCGAGGTGGTATGTGGAGAGGCAACTGCCACTGTAGCTGGGAACACACTCACATTTTCAGGCAGCAGATGAGCTATTTCTTGATCAGAGGAAATCTGTGAACTCTGAGAATGGCCTTTTTCTTTATAAACAAGGAGCTGGGCACTTGCTTTGTCCATATTAAATAGTTTCTCCAAGTGATCTGAGGATCCAAACTTCTGAGAAAGTATCTCTCTCCATGAGATATCGGTGGGCTTTGAATAAACTATGTGATGACGGGCTAGAGGAGTGACTGCTTGTGAAAACTGGCCAGGTAAGAGAGAGTCTTCCTGGGGTAACTCTTGGCTTGGCAAATTTCTGGTCAAAGATGGAAAATCTGAAAATATGTGGAAAATAAAAGGAGGGCTTATATAACTCCATGCTAAGGTAAGTTAAAAAATATAAACATATCAGCTTGTTCAAAAGATCCCCAAACCGGTTGGGCATGGTGGCTCACACCTATAATCCCAGCACTTTGGGAGGCTAAGGGAGGAGGATGGATTGAGGCCAGGAGTTCAAGACCAGCCTGGACAACACAGGGAGATCCTATCTCTTAAACAAATCTCCAAACCGTTGATACTTGACATTTCATCGAAATGTGTGCAAAATGGAAAAACACAAATTGCTAAATGAGAATCTGATAACGCCGCCTCTCCACCAGATGCTATGGTTTATTTCTAGCATGAAAGGACAGAAGATAAGAGAAATGTGTGGAGGAGGACCAGGCAAATTAAGGAAAAGGTGGGAGTTGCACAGCGGAGAAGCCGGAGGGGCTCAGCAGGGAAGCAAGAGGCTTAGGAAGATGGAGAGGGTTCTCCATCTTCCTAAGGGGTCAAGGCCAGGGAAAAAAGTGGGCCGGAGGGTGACCTGAGCAGGAAAGGCTGGCAGGGAGAATGTGGGGGAAGGTGTGGGTTTCTGCAGGACATACCAACTAAGACTGAGATGACAATTGGGAAGCAAGTAATCATCAGGGAAGATTTCAGTGGGGGCATGGGGCAGGCAAGAAAGGTAAGTGGAAGCCGTGGGAAACGAGGCGATAGAGCAGGAGAGAGGGGGCAGAATCCCTGTTATGTGTCTCTGACAGGGAGGAAGAGGAGAGGCCAGGCAGGGTCTGGTCTCCCCTCTGAGCACTGAGGCCACAGCAGCAGCAGGACAATGACAACAAAAACCAGAGACGTATGGTTCCAGCACTGTGCTCCGAGGACCGAGGCTATCTGGGAGATTTCACTTGGACTCTCAAAGATTAGAATTTTGGAGCCAATGTCGTAGGTCATGAGGACGATGGGACCAATATTTGAAATCATGATGACCACACTACAGACATAGAGAGCAGAAATCCATACAGTCCCAATGCCTGCTGAGGAGAAACCAGCCCCAGATCCTGCTCCTGCTCCAGGAAGCTCAGAATTGTGCCCCTGATCACACACCCCACTGATCACAGTTCAAAGTGGAAAGGGCTGTTCAAGCAATCAAGGGCAGGCAATGACCAGGTGAACTGCCATGTATCACTGCTGCTAGGCTAACCATCTCACGTAGACTAGAACTGCAGAAAACACAAGGAAAGAAGCAGAGGAATGTCCTGGCATCTCTCAGTCCACTCACTCCTGCTCTCTTGTCCTTTTCCTTCCTCAACTCACCTCCATGCCAGTTTCCAAACTGGTCCTCAGTCTCCTCTTTCCTACAAATGGATCCAGAGGCAGCTTCGGATTCATGCCATCTCGTGACTACTCTCTAAGCCTTACCCCTCTGAGAGGTTCTTTGCACTGTCACTTATTCATCCATCTAGAACAGGGCTCAGCAAACTACGGCCTGATGGACAAATCTGGCCTGCCATCTGTCGTCGTATGACTTGCAAGCTAAGAATGGTTTTTACATTTTTTAAAAATTTTTATTTGTTTTGAGACAGAGTCTCGCTCTGTCGCCCAGGCTGGAGTGCAGTGGTACGATCTCGACTCACTGCAACCTCTGCCTCACAGATTCAAGCGGTTCTCCT